ATGAAGCGAGCAGAAGGCGGTAAATGTGGGCGGGCAGAGAGGGCCTGCCTCTCAATCCGTCTGACCAATCGCTGCTCCTATGGTTCCGCCCCCCTCCGACGATTTTTGCATCACTGACTCAAAAAATCCAAGATGTCAACCAGGAAGTAGCAAAACCCTGGTTTCATTTTCTCAGTGCAGAAACCAATGGGTGACGTCACGGTAGCTTCGTCCATCTTTTATACAGTCTATGGTGCAAACCAGCTTATAAATCCAGAGGATGCTATTTTTTTAAGTGAATGAAACTTGCTACTGCAGCATCAGCATCATTAAGTGAAGCATCAAAAACCTTTTCACTAACTGTTTCACCTCTGAATGCTGGAATTTGCACTGCCGGTATTTCTTGATTTTCTTATGCTCACATCTAGTCAGTGTTTGAATAGGATTTGTGAATATCGTAAAAGTAACATTTCTGACTAAAATAGTTGCATCAGCATTACTGACACTAAGAAAAAACTGAAGTGAAGAGGCTATCTTGGACTCTTTGACTTTAATTCAATTTGTTCATTCATTCATTAAATTTTGCTTTTGACAAAACAGTATAAAGCATAGAAAATGCTGTATTAATTTTCAAAGCAAACTGAAAGCAATACAAAAGATAAACGACTTTCCAGATTCTAAAACATAAACAGCTTTGCATCTCATTTTACAGAACAGTACAAAGTAGCAATGCAAAGAACATTTCAATTTACACTGACTTGGTAAACAATGGTGCTGGAACATTAAAGTTAAATTAATAATAACTCAGTTTAATTAATCTCTGATACTGTCAATGATCAGCAAAAGTCAACTTACTGTATTTGCTATTTACATAGCATTTTTCATTATTATTAGTCAAGTAGTCAAGTCTGCTCTGAATTCAAATTAACACAGACAGATAAGGAATTGGCAGCAAATGAAACAGCATTTGTAGTTCCAATCTACGAACAAATATCCTGGTTCTAAACACACTGATATTTCTTTGATATTGGCTAAGATCCACAGGCCAGTTATCCAGATGAGAGAGGTATTTTATTCCTAGTGAAGTCAGGGTTTCATTACTGCATTGCATTTTTCTATAAAATGATCACAGTGCTGATATGCTATCGTTCCAGTTTTCATTGAATGCAAAGAACATTGGCTGGTGTGGGCCAATGTTTGTAGTGTACACAGTCTTTCTGATTGTAAATGAAATGTGAAGTGTCGCACCGGTTTGTTTTTGGTTTAAAGTGTTGATGCTCTATTGTGACATCCAGTAGTTCTGAATGTTGTCTACAGCACCTTGAACATGTTGACATTGTTTGTTGAAAATTACATTTAATCAAGAAAAGGATGCATATGTTTTTGAGGTTATAGCTGCAGAAACATGCAAAAACTGCAGATTATATGTGACAAATAAGACCAGAAAAAAACAGGAACCTTAGATAAAGGCAGAAGGCAGCCATCACAGAACATTATGTGTCCTTTGCTGGACAGATCTCAACACAGCTTTCAGTAAGACGAATTCCATACCATCCTTTCCAGAACCGTGTATCCTTGCCCCCATGGGTGAAACGAATGTATCTCACTCCTGGTCCATAGTTTTGAAATATATGAGTCATCTGAAAAATAAATAATCATTGCGTCGAACATTGTCCGTGGGAGTTGTACCTTCTCTTAACTTTGTATTCCAATTTACTGTGTTTTGTTTTCATACCTGTTTCCATTCATCAACTTCAGGGTAAACAGTGTCAGGAGCAAACTTCTGGATAAGCTGCTTCCTTTCATTCAGCAACTCTACACTGATGTTATACATGCAGCTACAGTCCGGACATCGGGTATACCTAACATGAGCACAGACAAAAACACACATTCACGTCAGCAGCAATGTTTGGTTAGTTTTTCATTGATTTCATTTTGGCGCAGCAAGGGTTGTTTTAGATGCAGCTTGCTGCCAGGAGGATGATCTGAAAACAATATACAAACACTACACTAAATACAAGGCACTGTGTTGATGGTGTTGTGTTGTTTCTAATACAACCCAAGAAGTCCAGTTTGAGTAATACATCCATGGGTCTGAGGGGTTATTGTGTGTGAAAACGCAATATTGTGGTCTGTAATTGATTTCTTGTTGTGGAAAGTTGATGCAATAATCATTTTAGGTATCACAGCAGTCACCAACTGTGTACTATTATTAACCTGATTGTTGGAGAAGAACAAACACAGTTTTAACTAAACTGCACCTAAAAGCAGATATGTGAAGATACAATAGAGAGTCCACCATGCACAGCTGATTCAGAGTTCATTATTTATTTTATCAAATAAAAATTTATTTTTTCCCCCATTCAGCTGACCACATCACTCCCAATATAACTTATCGTCAAGTGGCATTTACTGATTATCACAAACATTTTTGCTCATTAACAAAAAAAAATATAGATACAACTGTGACTGAAAGAACTTAGCTTGACTCAACAGCAGGATATAATTGCAAATGTGAGCAAAGATTTTAGGGCATTTACAAAAATGTACTTTTGTTTATGCTTGATGACAGGGAAAAAGCTTTTGATAAGAGTTGTATGGCCATTTATTTTTACAGCAGTATAAACCTTAACCCCATAACCCTGTTTCTCATTTTAATATGCTTTAGACAAGTGGATCCTTTTGTCTGTGCTGATCTTTGCTATATATATGGAACCACTTACCGAAGCAATCAGACAAGGCAGATAAAAGAATGGTTTGACTTTATGTTAGGAATATCATAAGTTAACATTATATGCAGATGATGAAATTTTATACCTTACCTCTCCTGAGCTTTCATTTAGAGAGTTAATGAAAACTATAAAGGAATACAATCGGCACTCTGGTTATAAAAGAAATAAAACTGTGATGAAGATGTTCATATTTACTGCCTATTTGGTTTCTATGCATACTTGCCTTTGACATGCTATATATCAATTATACGTTAATGTGTGTGTGCTTCATGTTGTTAGTGCGCAGGTCAGAACTTGACTATTGTGTGCAGAGACCATTGATCAAAGATGCTCTCTTTTTCTGCAAAGGGTTTATCTCTTTTGCTCTCAAACTTATAAATTTGAAACCTACGACTCTGCATGGAAGGAGAAAAAAAGTAACTTCTTAAGAAGAGCTGCTGTTATAATGAGGGTTTCCGTTCTATGCCTGTTTTTGTCTTTTACCACTGCTAGGAGAGGGTAAAGACACAGGGTCGTCTATAAGGTTTGAGTGTTACAACTGTTTTTTTTTTTGTGTCATTTGTCATATGTAATGTTTAGTGCAAAAAATGCCTTAACTCTTTGTGAATTCAATTTGGTAGAATTTCCATAACAGAAAATAAATGTAATTCTATATATATTTAAATACACCTGATTTTATTTTTAGTAGAGAAGTAGTACCTTTGACCTTTAGAAACTAAATGTCATCACCTGATCATTTTATCCTACAAGACATTTGTGCAAAGTTTTGTCACAGATTCTGTATGGATTCTTGGATTTTAGCCAGTTTGAAGAGATTCTCTCAAGAGGTTCAAGACATCAATTTAATTAGAATTGGATGAATAGATGGACATATGGACCAACCAAAAACATGATGTCCAGAGATATTTAAAAAGCTGGTCTCGCCAATCCCGACTGAGGATTAAGCGGTCTATAGATAATGGATGGATGGATGGTCTTGCCAATTGTAAAGGAAATAATGATTTATATATATTATGGGGGAAAATGGTTAAAAACTACAAAATAAACAAGGAAGTATTGCATCTCAGAAAAATTGCCCATAATTTAAACTAAATTAAATAAATACCAGGTTTGGGCCTTCAAAAAATAGAAATATATTCACAGTTATTAAAGAAGCATGGGGTAACTTCCTTTAAAGGTACATCAGTTAAACTCTATTTAGCCTAATTTAACTGTTATTAATATCTGAGCCTTTTTTTTTTTTACCTGTGTTGGGAGTTGTGTGTATATATTCCACTTTTTTATCACTTTATATTACCAATAATAATAATAAACTGTAATTATCATGACACTCATCAAGTGTAAACTTATGACATGCACTATTGCAAAAAAGAATTAAAACCACCAGCATACATTTATACTTTTTGTCTGTATTTGCAATAGTACCATAATAATAACTAGCATACAGTACATATGATTAAATATTAAACATCTCTTCTTACACTGAAGTCTATGACCTTAAATTTCAGTTAAATGGATTACACTTAAATACAATGACCTTGCATTTGTTATTTCTGCAGGACATAGCAGTGGTCAGTAAATGCTTATATGATGAGGACGACTGGTGTGTCAGTGGTGCATTAACTTCCTTTTTATAGACTGATAGTGGCACTATTACAAGATGTTTGGCCTTGTTTATAATGATAAAGTTATAGGCCTATTATTTGCACTCTCTCTGAGTTATGCATTCACACAATGTTGTGCTGAAGGCTTCCAATAAGTAAAATGCAATGCTTATGTAGCCCCTTACCAAGTAGTGATCTGCATCCCTACCTTTCACTGCTCAGTTCCGCTATGTTTGGTCTGTATACCCTGTACTTTCAGCTGTGCACACGCCTCTGAAAGGTCTGTTGTCAGCCGACTGTGAGATGAATTCAGCACAGCTTTGAGGTGTGAAAACAGCTGTTCACAGCAGATCAGCGTACAGAGATTAATGCAAATAGCATCTTCTTCACAGATACGGACTTGTCTGGTAAATTCTACCAATAAGCCAGAATTGGTGCTCATTGCTTTGTATTTTTAATGTTTATCTCACACTTAGATGCTTTACAGCTTATATTCATGCACATATGACACAATTTCTTCTTGCAACAACCTAAAGTAGACTACCTAACCACTTGTATTTATGGAAACATGCAAATGTGATATAAGCTTATCAAAAGTTTCCAGAAAAAATGTTTCCAAAAAATTGTACCCAAATGTATCCCATTTAAATTTGTCCGTCATCCCCTTTGAAGAACTGATGCTCATGCCACGCTTGGAGAAGTTTGTCAAAGTCTTGTTCTATAAACATGTCATCTGCGATGCATGCTGCATCTGCCTTGCTGTGTCAAAATGATGGCCGTATGACTTGAATTTCATACTGCAGACAAGGAAGAAGTCGTAGGAAGTCAAGTCATGGGAGTAGGGTAAGTGGAGTGCAACAATTGTGTTGATGCAAAAAGTTTACACATAGCAGCGCACCGTGATGCATGTAGTCACGATGGAGCATCCGGATGCAAATTCACAGTTCACGTCACTCTGTCTCCTCCCAGGTTAGGGAGGAAACAAAACAAGAAGTAGACAGGATGGTTTCTAGTTCTTTGGAGGTGTTTTCCACAGAGAACTGCCTGGGAAGAGCATTGTGCTTTATGTTACAGAAACCAGGACGGTACATCAGAGCGAAGTTGAAGCTGCCCACTGGGCTTGGCAGGAATTGAGGTTTTGGTGGTTTGAATGTAGGACAGGTTTCTATGATCAGTCCATACGATGAATGGTTGGTCTGCCCACTCCAACCAGTGTCTCCACTCCTTCAAAGCGAGCTTGACTGCTGATAATTCCCAGTTTTAAATAGGGGTGAAGTTTGTTGTCACTTTGAGATTGCTGAGACAGAACTGCTCCCAATCCAGTGTTGGAGGTATCTTCGTCAACTATGAACCGGAGGGCAGGATGGAACAAGGATGGGGGGAAAAAACAGAGTTTGAGCTCTTGGAGGGCTTTGTGGGTTTTGGGGGTTCAGTGGAAAGGTTTGGAGGTGGAGGTCAGGGCAATCAGAAGTGCGGCGATTTACTGTAGTCTCTGATGAAGTAATGGTAATAGCTGGCAAATCCAGCTTGCAGTTCTCCAATAGGGGCCAGTCCTTAACAGCAGTAAATTTTGTTGGGTCCATCCTCACCTCACCTTTGAGAAAGAGCCCAGAAAGAAGACTGTCGAAGCATGAACTCACATTTTGGGGTCTTGACAAACAGCTTGTTTTTGAGGATTGTGTGTCTTGAGCCAAGTGCCTATGGCTGACTTGGGTGATGTGGAGTCCATTCGGTGCTCTGGCCTCGAGGTGTGATGACAGTGGGTAAGTTGGAATTTGGGGTTGGGTGGCTAAACTGCTGTTCAACTGCTGAAAGACTGCATTATTTTCTTCTAGACACGATAGCTTTAAACCATGAACCATGACTAAGTTAAAAACAACAGCTCTGATAAATCTGACTAAAATGTGGGTTAGTTTAAAACCTGTACAGTTTAGTGAATGCTTCTGGAGTTGGATCTGGATTGTGTTCATGACCTTAAAATAATTACTCTGATTCATCAATGAACTGTGAACCTGTGTTGTGTATATTCTCACCACTCATATATTCTGATGTCCGGCTGAAAGTCATCCATAAATGATGAGCTGTAACCTTCGTTCTCCAGATCAATCAGCTGCATCTTTGTGCACATTCTGTAAAAAACACAAAGGGTTTTAGCAACTACATAGCACGAATGTGCCAAATAAAAGCAGTGACGCGCGTCTTGTGCACAACTGTTGTTGACTACTCACCCAAAAGAAGTCACAAAGTTTGACTGGATACTGTCATCTGGAAGTGATTTCCTAATTCCATGAACTGCCCACCGGTCACCGCCATTCTTCAGAATTCTCCAGCCATTTAGCCCTTCTACGACAACAACAATAGCAAAAAGGAGGTTTGTGGAATAAATTACTTTGCTGTGTTAGTATGCAGCAGAATAAAACTATAGCTTCATGAAGTTAGTTTTGTGGTTTCTCACGTTCTCCTCTTGGATTCCTGAGAAGATTTCTTCTCTCGATGCACAAGAAGTAAAACTTCCTCCAGTCACTGGGTATTTTAGAAGCACAGGAGGGGTGATATCCTTCTCTTCTACACCTTTGTCTCCAAAAAGACTCACTGTCAGCCACTTCTTTCCATTGATGGCACACTACCCTGCAAAGAACAACCACCTGTTGGGGAGGAAGCTTCAGGAAGATCTCCTCCAGGATCTTGGAATAAAGACAAGATTGAAAAGGATGAGGGTTGAGGGTTAAATTCATATTAATACCTAAAAACAGCATTTGTTCTCCTGCAGGACAGTTTGTTGTTTTTAAATGGGTATTTATACATTTATCCAGATCGCCAGTGTTGCAGCAGTGCAAAACATAAAATTATTCTGTTACAGTAAATGTTCACATCAAGCAGCAGAATGTGATCTCATTCATCTTTATGCTTGTTGGTGCCAAACCTGCTCATTAGAGTAATTTCAAAAATGATACCTCTTGGTATTTTTACATAACAGTCTCAATAGCTTCCTCAGAAAAGTACAAAAAACAAACAGCTGCAGCTTAGTTGGTAAAAGTTATCAGAGGAGAATTGGCCAGACTGTTTTGAGCTGACAGAGAGGCTACACTAACTCAGACATCTGCTCTTTGCAACTCCTGTCAGCCAAGAACAGAAATCTGACGCTGCAGTGGGGACCAGCTCACCAGAACAGGACAACTGAAAAAAATGTAGTCTGGTCTGATGAATCTTCATTTCTGCTGAGACTGCAGATGATGGGGTCAGAATTTAGGGTCAACAACATGACTCCATGGACCCAATGAGGACTGGCTGGTGGTGGTGGTGTAATGGTGTAGGAAATGTTTTCAAGCTTAGGAACCCTTGGTATCAATATATTGTCATTTGAATGCCATGATTTATTTGAGAATTGTTTCTGATCATGTGTGATTCATCCGAGAGGAAACAACTTCAGCGGGTCATCAAGATGGCTCAGTGGATCATTGGCTCCCCACTACCACACCTAGAGGAGATCTACTTGAGTGGTCTCCTCCGACCGGCCATAAAGACCTGGAATGACCCCGCCCACCCAGGACACTCTCTATTTACCACCCTCCCCTCTGGTAGACTCATGAGAGCCCATCCATCCATACACCCCTTAATTACCTGATCCTCTGAGCCTATCCCAGCTGACTCAGGGTGAAGGCAGGGGACACCCTAGACAGGTCGCCAGTCTATTACAGGGCTCGACTTCGACAACCGAGCACACTCACATTCACACCTACGGACAATTCGGAATCATCAATTAACCTCAGCATGTTTTTGGACTGTGGGAGGAAGCCGGAGAATCCGGTGAGAGACCACACCGCACAGGGAGAACATGCAAACTCCACACAGAAAGACTCGCAGGCCGGGAAGCGAACTGGGGATCTTAGACAATGTTAACCACTGCCCCACCCAGTGTGAATGTAAAGCTGACAAATCTTGTGTGCATTGACGTCTCCAGCAGTTTGTTCAGGGGCTGAGTTGCTTCCCAAAGCAAAGAAGTTCCTCAGAATCCTGATCACGAGTAACGGGAAAAATGCGTAGTAAGACGTCTGGAACAGCCTGTATAGCCTGCTGTCCCCGAACCCGACCCCAGGTTAGTGGAAGAAAAACAAAAATCGAGTTGTTTTACCATGTCCATACGGTGTTTTTTTAAAAATATATATATGTTGTAGAAGGGGCTGCAAAGTGGCTTGCTGGTTAGCACCTTCACCTTGCAGCAAGAAGGTCGCCGGTTCGCGTCCCGGTGAGGACATCCGGGATCTTTCTGCGTGGAGTTTGCATGTTCTCCCCGTGCAGCGTGGGTTCTCTCTGGTTGGTTCTCCAGCTTCCTCCCGCACAGTCCAAAAGCATGTTGAGGTTAATTGGTGATTCTAAATTGTCCGTAGGTGTGCTTGGTTGTCTGTCTCCATGTGTAGCCCTGTCATAGACTGGCGGCCTGTCCAGGGTGTCCCCTGCCTTTGCCCTAAGTTAGCTGGGATAGACTCCTGCCCCCCGCAACCCTAGTGAGGATTAAGCGGTGTATAGATAATGAATGGATGGATATTTTAGAAGACACATCATGAGAAAAATCGGCACCATGGCTGAGCAGTTCCACCTTGAACTGCAGTGGACCGATGACAATCTCAGAAACACAGATTTAGACAGTGCTTGGCAAGTGTGCATAGTAGTGGCATAATGTCCTTATCACTTTGTTGTTATTAGTATTGCTATTATTATTTTTACTTTTTAGCTTCATCGCCTCAGAGGAAGACTCACTCTTTAGACCTTCCACATTAAATACCTTTGAGCGGTTTGTGTTCGCTTCAAACATTTCAACATCTTTAATCAAAGCATAAAACTGGAATAGTGAGGTTTTGTGATGTTCCAGTGAAAATGAAAACAGCTAGGTAAACATGAGAGAACAGTCAGAAAATGCATGAGACTAACATTTAAAATTCTACATTTTACTATTTATCTTTTTGCTGTCTGGTGCTGATGACTTCCTGGAACCTTTCATTGGAACTTTCAGGACTTCTGCAACCACACTATAAAATAAAATAAAATAATCTATTTGTTTTTAACAATTGCTGTCCTGAACTTTTTGAACAATTTAGGAGACTTTCTCTGTTTTGTTAAATTACAGGTAATAACTAGTAGACTGCACACACAAAAATTGCATTAATTTACCTGTAAGCTGTAAAAACAAACAAGCAAAAAAACAAACAAAAAAACAAAATAGGCTTATTTTTTTGAAAGAAAAATTTTGCAGATTAATTATTTTTACTCAACCTATAATTAAACCCGGGTTACATTGAGGTATGAAGGCTTCATTAACAGTGTACGTGGATAAAAGATGTCAGCACACACATAAAACTGGACAACAATAAAATATTAAACGCCAAAATTAGTACAAAAAATAGTGCATGTAAGTGCATTTAGGTAAAGTTATTGTACATTAAGGATTGAAAAAAATGTGATTTATTTTATTTTTTTACTGCTTTCTATGTTACAGATACTTCCTGTTTTGTTAAATAATAAATAGTATCCGGTAAAGTCAAAAGAAGAGTCAAAAGTATTAATTTACATGTTGACTGTACTTAATGGTAATTTCTTCTTTTAACCGAATCAGCAAAAAAAAAAAAAAAAAAACTTTTATTAATTTTTATGTTTTTTTTTTGTTTGTTTGTTTCGTTTTTTTTTTTACAGTTTAACACTTTTTTTTCTGGCACACTTGCTGTCAATTTTTATTTTATTTTTTTTACAGTACAACCTGGGCTGGTTGATGTCCTACTTAGGTCACCAGAGCAAACGTAAATTCATGATAAATAAATAAATAAATAAATAAATAAATAAAACTTGATGAAGTCTGCAGATGTTGTATGATGGCGTCTGTATGTGGGGGCCTTGTTCACTTTACCTGAGGTGATACGTTCACTAGTAAAACGTTACGACTAATAGATTCCTTTTTTTGTTGTTGTTGTTTTTCTAAGTCCAGACACTCACGTATGCGCTGAACAGCGGTTCCTGAGCGGTTCTGCGGGTCGGACGCTCTCGGTCGTGGTCGGAGCTGTGACTTTTATCCATGGCTTTCCTCTTCATGTCTGAGTTGCGCAGTTCAGAAACATAACCTCTGCTGCTTCCTCTGACGGTCTGCGAGACTTCCACAGAAAACAACACGTCCGCAGCAGATATACGTCAAGAAAAAACGACTTCCCTCCAGTTCAGCGTCACTTTCAGGAAACGCGTTGCTGTAGTGTGTGTCAGCAGGTCCGAGCAGCGCCTGTTCTCAAAGCTGCTGCTGCTGCTGTGGACACGAATGAAAAGTCACAACTAGTCTCCCTACCAGCACCACAGTCCTCCTCAGTCATAACATTGGAGTCATGCTATGAGGAGATGAAAAGATGTAAATAAACACCTGTGTTTCATTAAAATACACAGATAAGGATACACAGATAAAAACTTTTTCCACTGTTAAGGCCTTGGGCTTTAACCCTATTCAGGAGTTTCATGTTGCCATATGTGTAAGATGGTTAGCATCGTTGCCTCGCAGCAAGTGAGGACACCCAGGATCTTTCTGCGTGGAGTTTGCATGTTCTCCCTGTGCAGCGTGGGTTCTCGCCAGGTTCGCAGGCTTTCTCCCACAAGGCCTAAAAACAAGTTGAGGTTAATTGGTGATTCTAAATTGTCTGTAGGTGTGAATGTGAGTGTGCTTGGTTGTCTGTCTCTAAGTGTAGCCCTGTGATAGACTGGTGACCTGTCCAGGGTGTCCCCTGCCTTCACCCTAAGTCAGCTGGGATAGACTCCAGCCCCCCACGACCCCAGTGAGGATTAAGTGTATAGATCATGGATGGATGGATTGTGCCATATGTAGGTCTTTCGGGTCCGTTGGACTCCAAGAAAGAATATGTGCAAAATATTTGTTGGTATTCATTACAGACTTTTATACTACGTTTTTATTTTATATTTTATAATACATTTTCTGATAAGTTGGCGTATTTTTGGTCCCAAATGTCCTTCTTTTTATATTTAAAACCAAATTTTTAAAAAAGAAAACCAAGCAAAAAACAAACAACACCTGTTACCTAAACCAAATAGCCTGGGATCCAAAAGACCCAGAAGTCCTGAATAGGGCTAAACGCGTTACAATAACTATTCTCTGCACCTTACAGCTCATTCACACTGTGTCACTTTACTCTGCACATTATTATACACCAGTTCTTAAGAGGTTAAACTCAAATTTCTACATTCATTGATTTTAAACTGAATTCAACTTGAGGTAACAGAATGATACTGGCTTGGTAACTCAAAGTCTTTTTAACTAAAGTTTAGGATTTCAAGTCTCCTCCCCTACATGTTTATTAGAGCAACTTTAAATTTGTCAACTTATGGAATTATAATTAGGCATGAAACCCATAGACATGAAGCAAATGTTCCCCCCCTGTTTTCATTATTCAACTCATGAACTTGAGTTCATAATCATGGTAATAAGGTTTTTAACACTTCACAATCTTTAAATATTGTGAAACACTCGGTGGAACAACTCATCTTTTTGAGTGATAAACTTAAAAAGGCATGTTCATGCGACAGTCACTAAATGAGTGGTAATGAAGACCTTTGACTGTAGAGGAAAAGCCTCTTCCCATAAGTCAGTGTACTTTGAAAAGCGTTATGCAGAAGTTAATATTGATCAAAATGACCCCTGAGGTAAGCTTGGCTCGGGGTCGTGGGGGAAGATGGCCCTTTTTAGGAGTCTCCATTTGGTTTTATAATAACAAAGTTGTAGTCTGTTCAGACTTAGCTACTCCCTAAGTCTGCTCACTCAAGCATACTTCTTGTGCACATACACTATTGTTAATTAAACATATATACATCTAAAAACAAAGAAGACATTGTTGTTAAGTGAGGCTGATTTAAATGGACCGGATTGATAAAGAAACGATACATGTTGTGGATCTGCCCTCTTATAAAATTCACCACTGGTAAATCTTGCAGGCAGTTTCTGGTTATGTGCTTTCACTTAAACCACTCTCAGGAAAGGAAGAGGGAAGAAAAGGGTCACAGGGGAAAGACCTACAGATTTCACACCATTTGGTGGGCAGCGGAAGAGTAAGCGTTGAGTAGAATAAGCTTCAAGTGACAGATGATAAATACTCTTTCTAAACTCTATTCACTCACAACACTTTCCATTTGCACTTTCTTCCTGCTGAACTAAGCTTGCAGCTGTGATGATTCATCTGTGGTCACTGGTGGCTATTTCTTTCTTTTTATCGCTTCCTCTTTGTGTGTTAGCAGCTGTTGCTTGTATTGGCCACCACATTTCGTTTATCGCGAAAAGTCTCCGCAGCTCCCATTCCCAGAGGAAACGGACATTAGAAACTAATATCTTTAACATTAATGCACATTCAAAGTGATCAGCTTTGGTTTAACCAAGAAAATCAAGAATATTTCATATCACAAGCATTACAAACATGGTTTTGTTTAAAAAGTGTCAAAATGGTTAAGCAACATGAGAGAGACAGTTTTTAATAATATGGCAAACAAACAGAGGCGCAATCTTGTCTTCAATCACATAGGCACTGCAGTTTTTGTTCAATACAGTACATAGAACTCTGTCATCATTTACAAGCCATACCAAAAATATATGGATACCAAGGAGGCTAGAAGACCTGGGAAGTAACATGGCAGCCACTGGTTTTGGTGTCACATTATTTCAATTTCAAGCAGGCCACAACCCTGTCCATGGATACTGGCGTCGATCAGTCCAGTCTGTGATGATCTTACTCCACTCTGCGTATTTAAATTAATATAAAGACAAGAGAGTAAATGCACAATTTCTGAGTAACAAGGACTTTGGATCCATGTCGTATCTAAAACAGAGGTTTATCCATCTTCTGTCAAACAGCCGAGAGATGAGTCTTTTTTTTTTTTTGGTCAGCGAAGGCGCTCCTATGTGTCTGCGTCAATCCTGTGAGCTGCACAGTGGAAACGAGAACAAAAAGGTCAGAACAGGCACATGCAGGTGGTTGGTGATGTAGCTCGGTGTATTTCAGAAGACACCCTTAAAGCATGGATAAAATATTCTCAGATGTGCTGCACAAGCTCATGTACGAAAGGCTCAGAGTTAGAGGAAACCCGTTGTTGGAAACATCTGAAACAGGGGCAGCTTTAACACTTCGATGGAGTACACAATCTACCAAATCATTAACCTACAATAAAACACTACAGATAACTGGGTATCACGTTGACTCAGGTCTCATGTGTCACTGTGCTGTCCCAGAACTTACATTGCTTTGGTATCCTGAGTGGTTCCGTGTCTCCTGACAGGACTTGATGCATGACGCCGCGGAACTGATACAGCACCTTGAGGCTCTTCTCCTCCCCTACGCATGGGTCGTAGAAGCCAGGAAGTCCTGACTGGAAGAATAACACAAAGCCAAGTGTTGGTTGAAGACATACGTTTGTGACACTGCAATACATTTTTACAAAAGACAATACTTTATTATTGTATCAATGGACAGAATAACTGCAATGTTGTAAAATCTACCTCATAGTATTGGTTTTTCGATTAATTCTATGGTTCTTGCACTTCCAGACTATCTTTTTCACTGGTAGCACCGGTGTGTCCAACTTTCTTATGTGGTCTCACCTCCCACCCTCTCACAGGCAAAACCCATCACTTGTTGAACATCTGCTTATCGATAGACGGTACAATTTACAGATGGTCCCTGAATGCCCCGCATTGCAGGCTGTGCTAGTTGCTACTCGGTGGCTGTGGTGTACTCAGACAGGTGTGTGACCAAAAAATACTTCGACAAGTTAAATTAGGGTGTTCTAATGACAGATTTGTCTGAGATGTAACCGAGTGATTTTGTTTTGTAAACTGTTCTGCTCATAGAAACAGCGAATGCAGGTGCACTCCACATTTCATGAGAAGACCGCATTTTTCAGTGTAAATACCGCAGTCCACCGAAGTTATAAAAGTGCTGCTTTCCACCACTGTGCCAGTTACAGTGACACCAAAACATCTCAATGATCATCACGCACTTGCACCAATGCGACCAGTTGAAAAAAATGGTTGCAGTCTGGAGCCCTGATGAACTCACCTTTGTGGCCTCAGTGAGGATGAGTTTTGAGTCTTTCACCAGACACTGCAGGGGCACGGTCACATCAATGACCTTTGCCCTCTCATGTCTTCTGCTGTTGTCGGTGACAAACTTGCCATACCAGGCGTTGAGGATGATGAGACCTGATTTAGGAAGAAGCATTAGCATTAAGATATGTGTTTGTAATGTTTTTTTAAAATAAGAATTAGTCAACACAATGGCAGAGTGTAGTTTGAATTACAGAAAGAATTACAGTTACAACAGACACAGATTTTTGGATTAATAGATATTAAAACTACAACACAAATCACATTTTCACTGTTTTAATCTTGGGTGCCAACAGCTGTGGCCATAGAGTCTGTAACAACACCATTAGAATTTTTTTAGACTTGTCTCCTAAAATAATTTTACAAAAGCACAACAAAAACACAACATAATTTATTTTAACCATGAACTGCATAAACAGCTGTTTTTTTTTTTGTTTTTTTTTAAAACATCTGTTTGCTTCTCTCCTGCTCTCTGTGCTCACATATGTTGTACTATAATACAGGGGATTTCCCGATACAGCTGCCCTCATTGACATACTTTTCTGTTCTGTTGTCAGACTACACAACAGATGAATACTGACTGAAATACAGTGAATTAAGACTACGTGTTAACCAGCAGTCACTTCGTACTCATTTTCTAAGCTGCGGCTCTGCACCACAAAGATTCTGATCTTTAACCATATTGACAAACTCACCAAACACGAGTTAAAAACATCGACCGAAAAACGTGCACTACATTTGGCCGTATTTCCATGTAAAATGATCGTTCAGAGAAACCATTCGAAGCGATAGAAAGCCCTGGTTTCAAACACTCATTCACGTCAGCTTCCATGAAGTCAACTGTTCAGCTGTCAATCACTGATACATAAAGCGTGTTTTTCCTGAAGGGGGCGTAGAAAGCAGCAGCTCAGCTTCATTTAAGCGACAGACACTGAAACAGCCTGTTGAGAACAAGACTAAAACCGGGAGTTATATGGTCATGGCAACATGAACCATATTTGCAGGATTTTGGACTGAAAAATTGAAAGACACATCCTGGGAACATGTGAG